GTCGTTAAATTTAAAAGTCATATAAATGCATACATAAAGTAACAGTTTACACGCGTATATAGTTTACACCATATAGTCTAATCCAAATAATCACGTTACATACAGTTAGGTTCGTTATCCAAAAGGGAAGGTTGCATATTTGTTTATTTAATTCATTTCAAAAGGACGGTTGCACACGTATAAATCAATGGTCTAAACGTGACAGTTACACACATATAAATTAATAATCTAAACGTTACGGTTTCACACAAATTTTTTTAGTATATTATAGATACTCTGTAAGTGATTTTAATAGCAAAATTTTTTAAATATTACAAAATAATAATTTAATTAAATAATAAATTTTATTATCAATTTATTAATTAATTCGACTCTATATTTAAAATAGGAAATGTTTACTGTAGTATAGCATTTTTTTGATCATCATTTACTCAAAATCAATTTCTTATCGTTAGGGTAACATATCATTAAGATATTACATATTAGGTTAGAAAAAAATTATATCATCAGACGTAATTTTTCCGAATTATGAAAATGGTAATCAATGATTCAGCTGGTCCAATTTATTATTAATTAATAAAACGTCGATCAACCAATCAAAAGTATTGAAATTACGCATTATATACTATTACCTGTCATTTACCGAAGTTTGAATATCTTATATCAAGTGCAACTTCGACAACAAATAAAGGTCCCCTGAAAAGTCCAACACCATTTTTGAAGAAATGGCGACACGTAAACTAGGATAATTTATGAGAGGTCTTTAAGATCATATCATTTGCAATCTATAAAGTCGGGAAATGGCGCACAGTTACGGCATTGGATCGGAAGATTATACGCTTGCTGGTCTAATTCCTTTAAAAAATCGCAGTTTAAATAATATTAACGGATCAACAAATGCTAATATACATAATTGTACCACAAATTCATCATTTTTTTTTTTGATGTGAATATTGTTAAAAAAAGTGAATTAATACTAAGGAAAATCACATGCTGATCATATGATTGGTATTGTAGATCATATCCCATTTAATGCACAATCTTATACTTTATATACTGGAAAGTAATTTTTATAAACTTCTTTTTAAGAATAAAGTATCATGAAAAAAATTTGAAATATGAAATTTAAAAAAGTTCAATTTTTTAAGGATTATAAACATTTGACGATAAATTTGAACTTTATACACTCGGCAATTTTTCCGGTAAATCTAATATCCTATTTTATATTTTATTTATTATATATATCTATTCTATAATATAGAATTGTGTAACGACGATCACCAAATTTAGAAATGTTCATATAATATCAAGATGAAAATTATTTGTTTACTAGTCGTGAACTCTATCTTGATTTGTTTGATTTGTTGCCGAACCATTTTCAAATATTCTCCTGTAAACCTTTCATAATATTAATAATTATTATTATGGACAGAGGAAAAAAAAACTTGTCTCGAAACAACCGTATCACGAAAGAACCACCTCTAACCATTAAACCTCCCAAACATCCTGGCCATGAATACAAACGACGCGGGTTACTTGGAGAGGTCTGTAAAGAACATATACTCTTTATTCCTTCTATTAGTATGTATCTTCATGTTGACATATTAAATACGTTTTTAAATAATTCAATTATTTTACAGGGCGGCTTTGGAAGGTGTTTTGAGGTCGAGACGATAGAGGGCAAGGTACTCGCTGTCAAAGTTGTAGACAAAACCTCATTAAGAAATCCAAAGAACAAAGATAAAGTAAGCTATCAATCTTTTAATAGAATTTACTTGCACTTGTTAGAAATAAGCTAACACGAGGTGCTGTGTTTCAATTTGAATTGATATTTAGCTTCTTAGCGAAATTGCTATACATAAAAAATTGGATCATCCCCATATTGTCAAATTTTATGATTGTTTTGAAGATCAATCATTCGTATATTTATTAATGGAGCTTTGTGAAAATAAGGTTTGTACCAAAATCTAATGATATTTTTAATGAGTTAATTTTATTAACTTGAACATCTATACATAAGACTTTAGCTTCGATGAATAAAAAAAGACAACGGCTGACCGAGCCTGAAGTTCGATATTTTATGCTTCAGCTCCTTGATGCTTGCGAGTATATGCAACGTCAATTTGTGATTCATCGTGATTTAAAATTGGCAAATCTGTTTCTCTCAAAGGATATGAAGATCAAAATCGGGGATTTTGGTTTAGCGGCGCAGTTGGAACGTGAAGGTGAAAGAAAAAAGTAAGTTTGGTTAATTTCTTTTTTCTTTTTTTATTATTATAGTATCCTCATTCAATTTCATACTTTAGAACCATATGTGGTACGCCGAATTATATCGCGCCCGAAGTCTTATTTGATCAGTTGAACGGTCATAGTTTTGAAGCTGACGTGTGGTCATTGGGTGTTATCATGTAAGTTTGTTTTGACAAACAAATTAACGTTATGTCAACAGCTGATTGGAATCTGATCATATAAAATTTTACTTGATTATCCTTCTTTAAACATTATATTTTTTCGATTGCATGTTAATGTATACCATAGATCACGTTATGAAGTTAATTATCTCTTCTTTTATACAAAATAGGTATACCCTGTTATTCGGAAAACCGCCTTTTCAGAAGGGTGGAGAAGTCAATCAAATCTACAGGTTGGACTTATTTTATTTTATTTTATTACTTTTAATTTTTTTAAATATCTTATTTAATAATATCAATTCATTATATAGGAGAATTAGGGAGTTAAGATACGATTTCCCATCAAATATTACTGATGTATCTATTGAAGCAAAGAATTTGATTAATTTGATGTTAACTTTGGATCCAGGTGATTTATATTTTCTTTTAGGAATCTTTTTTTTTTTTTTTTGTCATTTAATTAAAAAAATTTTTTATTTCTTTACACGTCTCTCTTTCTAGAGAAACGACCTACTATTCGCCAAATCCTGGATCATGAGTTTTTTAATTTAGGAGTGACACCCACAACGATACCAATGACTGCATTAACTATTACACCTTGTTTTGATGTTCCTAAATTAAGACAGCCATTGAAAGTCCTACTTACCAATAATTTAAATAAGAAACTAATTGCTCATTCTGAAAATAAAAGTAAAAAGGATACCGAAAAAAAATCTGAAGATAAATATAAAAGGAATAATGACAAAAAACCTGAAGATAGACATAAAAAGGATACCGAAAAAAAGTCTGAAGATAAAAATAAAATAGACAACGAAAAAAGATCTGAAGGTAAAAATAAAATAGGTAACGAAAAAAGATCTGAAGGTAAAAATCAAATTGATAACGAAAAAAGATCAGAAGATAAAAATCAAATTGGTAACGAAAAAAGGTCTGAAGGTAAAAATAAAAAGGACCATGAAAAAAAATCTGATGATGAAAATAAAATAGATAACGAAAAAAAATCTAAGCTTGATTCTGTTGGTTCATCTAGTGAGTATTTATTTATTTTTAAATATAAGCTCTAAAAAGTTATTATTAAATTAATTAATCTTGTTTTTACAGGTAAAATACGAACTGGTGTCCTTGAAGCAATCTTAAATACCCTTGAAATATCATTTAGAACACTTGAAAATGACAAAAATATAATATGCAATACTACTGGTGATAGTATGTAATGAGTACTATAATTTGTTATTCTTCATTTATTCAAAATTTAATTAAATCTATTCTTTATTAAGAAACCCTTACACCTCGTGTGTTTGTAAATAAATGGATTGATTATTCAAATAAATATGGAATGGGATACCAATTGACTGATGGTTCCGTAGGTGTAAATTTTAACGACAAGACAACCTTGATCATGTCTCCCAACGGAAGGTTAGCCTTTATTATTCTATAACGTACTTTTTCTTTCCAGACAGATTATGTGACTATATTTGACCAAGGTTCATATTTTCCGCATAGTAATTTCGAATACATTTACAACAGTCGCATCTCTTCCACAATAATTCCAACACGCAAATCCTATTTAGTAGCTAGTTGCCCTAAAGATCTGCAAAAGAAAATGTATTTATTGAGAAACTTTCGTAATTATATGAACGAAACTCTTTCGAAAAGGGCACATTCATATGCTTTTGATGATAAAGATCGAATTCAAAATATGGAATTTCTTACAAAATTCAAAAGAACGCCTCATGCGATGATGTTTCGATTAAGCAATCGTGTTGTACAGGTACAGAGTGACTTTGATATTTACTTTATTATTTTAATTCCATAGAGATTTTTATTTAACAATTGAATTATGAACCTTGTTAGGTCAATTTTTTTGATCACGTGAAAATCGTTATATCAGAAGAAGGATATGTTATAACATATATTGACGAGACAAATGAGTTAAAGACGTGTGCTATCACAGAGTTTTTGAAATTGAATAATTCTGTGGAGATGAATCGATTGAAATACGTGAGGGATGTTTTAAAAAAATTAGTTGATGCAGCACATAAATCTAAAAAATTATCAGAAAAATAGTATTTATATAGCACGTGATTTTTATTTAAATAAAATAAAATAACAAAAAAGTCCTTTTTTGATCTGCATTTGGGGTTAATTTGGGGTGGGGTTTTTGTGACTACATAAATGTCCAATGAATGTACAGCACGTAAATGGCCCAGAAATCAGAAAATTATAAAATTGGATGAAAATTCGTTTGTCATTTTTAACGATAAATAATGGAAGAAATTGAAGCTAAACCATTAAGTTCTTTAACCGGTACTTTTAGATATCAATTTAATAAATTTGCTCTCTTCAAAACCTTTTTTAATGACTTGTTCTCATAATACCAGAAAAATCCCTTCAAACAGAAGAAGCCTCTTTGGAAAAAGAGGAACCAATCATTGTCAATAATTCGAATTTGGTAGAATTGAAAAATGCTTGTGACGATTATATTCAAAAGGTTTTTTTTTTTTTTATATATATATATTTAAGAAGCGAAGTAAATAAAATCTTGTCATCTTTGCTAAAATATTATCAAATTTACTTTCAACACAAATAGCTTTTCGTAAGTAAAGCTAATTTTCGTCAAAATAATACCCATACTGATGTTAAGTTAGTGTTAGGATATTTGGCATGTGGTTTCGCCTTGTCTGGTGGATATTATGGGCACAAGATACCATTCAATGAGGCAAAAGAAGTGACACTCATATGTATCATTGCGTATCCTTTATTTGATCTTAATTCACGTTTGAAATTCAATCATTATATTTCCTTAATTTTATATTTTGAAAAATTTAGATATTTTTTATTGAACTCATTACTTGTTTTATACTCCTTTATATTTGAAAAGGAAACTATTTTTGTAGGAGAATTCGAAGAGAATGACAAAAAACATACAATCACTATTCAAACAAATACAAAAAGATATTCTGATATTTATAACATTATTTATGAATATATTGGGAATGAAAAACAAAATTCTTCTATTAAAATTCGAAATGCCAAATATACACTTTCTAAATCTTTTGGAAATTGGTTTGATGTTAAAGGTCAAATGGATACTGAAAAATTTGAAAGAGATTTATTTGAAGGATTAGAGATTGTTAAAACCGGAAATAAACCACATGAACAATAAATTAATTAAAAAAAGAATAATTATAATATTAAATAAATAGTAAATCCTATCCGAGTTAAAAAAAAATTATATAATTTGATATTTTTCCATCGAGATTACTTATATTGATTTAATAACTAAATGTAGATAAAAATATAATTTTGAATATTATAAAGAACCTGAAATGCTAAAAATATATAATTTTTTAAAAATTTCATAAAAAAAAAAAAATACTGAATGGTATTTAAAATAAATCTGTTTACCAATTACTGTATATATTACATATATTATTAGATAATTTTTTATATTGAATATTGCATTAAAAATAATTAGTAATTTTTCTTTAACTTTTTAAGCCAATATATATTCTTATATATACTTTGTCAAATAAGATTATTTATATTTTACATAATAAAATTAATATTTTTATATTAAATATAATATACAATTAAATTTCCTTAATAATAAATCTTTTATTCATTTTTTTTATTCTAAATTTATATTTTTTAACCTTAATAATTTATACAAATTTGCATAAGTTTATATATATAGATTTAAAAAAGATTACTTTTATAAAAATTTTCTAATATAATATAGAGCTATTTTTTAAATTATAAAAAAACAATAATATTTAATATAATAATTAAAGATTAATAATATAATAATAATATATAAAATAATTATTTAAATTATTTAAATAATTATTAAATTAGTTATATAATTAATAAATAAATACTAAAAATTTTAATTAAATTTATTATAAATAATATAAATAAATATAATTTAAAATATATATAATTAATTATAATATAAATATAATATTAATATCTAACTTTATTTATATTGTTAGATAAATCTTATATAAAACTTATAAATTTATGCAATCTTATATAAATTTATGCATAACTTTAATATTTTTCTATTATAATTTTTATTTTTTTTTAAAAATAATAAAATTAATCATTAAAATATGAAATTTTATTGTTTAAAATAATTAAATAAAATAATTTTTTATTTTAATTTATTAATCTGAAGTTAAAAAATTTTTTTTGAATTAATATTAAATCTGAATTTATTTTACTAAAAAATAATATTTAACTTATAAAATAAAAAAAAAATTTTTTAATAGTTTATATTTAAAAAAAGTATGTATTTAAAATAAAATTTTTTATATAATTTCTATATGTTTAAAATTAAACACAAGCATATATTTTAAAGAAATATATAATATATATTTAAAGATTATATATTAATAAGTTTTTATTAATTAAAAATTAAAAATTATTTTAATATCTGATTTTTATTTTAAATAACTTTTTTTTAAATATTTAAATTTAATCTTTTATTTTTATATTTTTTTTTTAAAAATTATTTATTTTTAAATATTTTTATTTTTAATCTATTTAAAATCTTAAAATTATAAATTTCATATTTTTTAAATTTTATTTTAATTTTTAATGAATTTAATATTTATTTAAAGATATATATTATTAATAATACTTTTTATTTTATTAATTTTTAAATAATTTATATTAATTTATATAAAAATTATTATAATATTTTTTAATTTTAGCTTATATTAAAAAATAAAATATATATTATAATTAATATATTTTAAAATCAAATTAATTATTATAGTTTAAAAAAACATTACTAGTAAAAAAAATTTAAATTATAAATACCTTTTATTTTTAATTATTTTATAACAATAAAATTTTTATTTATATTATCAAAATTTAAATTATTCAATATAAAAAATTTAAAGCATTTATTATATTGATTTAATTAATTAAATTTTTTAAATTTTCTGATACATTTATTTTTATCAATTCAATATCAATATTATATATCAAATATTTATCTAAAAAAAATATTAAATATTACAAATTAACAATTTTTATTAATTTTTATCATTTAGTATAGCTATTATAAACTTTAATTATATCCTTAACTCTTTTAAGTATAATACTAATTAACTTATTATAATAGTTGATTTTAAATGATTTTAGGTTTCTCTATAAAGTATCTTATAAGCTATATTTAAATTATTACATAAATATTTATTAATTTTATTTTACAAATCTTCAATTAAATTTAGTTCAAAAAATTAAACTAATGAATCTAATAAGATAATAAAATTATTACAAAATCATTTTTTAAAGGCTGCTTTAGATCATTATTTTATTGATTTTGTTAAAATTATATTATAAAAATATTATTAAAAAATTATTATTTAATATTTGATAATAAAGAATAACATCTATAATTTTTTTAATATTAATTAAATTATTAATTTTATTAATTGTAAAATAGTTTTAAATTATTAATTTGCTTTTATTAAGTTAAATTATTAAAATAATATGTTAATTTTTTAAAAGTTCTATTAACTTTTTCTTACAATATTATTACTTATTAAAATTAAATATAAAAAATTTACTTTTATCTAATTAACTACTTTTTTGTTAATTTTAACAGTACAATTTTTATAATTTTGATTTATTTTAATTATTTTTTTTATGAGTTTTTTAAATAAAGTTTTTTCTTTTTAATTTTAATAACTAATCCATTTTTTTTAAATATTTTATTTATAGATTCAGCTGAAATAACAATTTTTTTATCAACTTTAAACTTGAATTATACTTCAATAGCTATAGAAAACTCTTTAAAATAAATGTAATATAAGAGTTTTTATTTATATTTTTTATTTAATGATTTTGAGTAACTAGATTTAAATCAATCATCAAAATTTCTAATTTCATTAAATTTTTTATATATCTATATAACTGATAATTGATAAATATCTTCTTGAACTACAACTTCTCTAATTAAAAATCTATTAATAAAAAATATAAATAAAAGATTATTTTTTTATTAAAATTTAAGATATTAAAAATAAAAAAAATTAGTTAATAAATTCTTTTATTTGATAATGCTTTTTATATTTTTTTTAATAAAATAATTATCTTATATTATAATTAATTCTATCTTATACAATTTTTATTAAAATTTAGTAAAAGAAGAAATATATCACTTAAAATATAATTATGTTTTTATTACATTTATATAAATATATTTTTTTTATCAATTATATACAAAAATAAAGATTTATTAATTAATATTTAAATGAATCAATTATTATTATTTTATAATAATTAAAAATAAAAGATATTTATAATTAAAATTTTTTATTAAATAATGCTTTTTTTATAAATTATAATAATTAATTAATAAATTAATAAATTTATTAAATAATATTACAATTTTTTAAATATATAAGATTTTATAATATTATTAATAATAATTATCTATTATTTAAAAATAATAAAATAATTATTATATTTATTAATATACTATATTATATAGGAATAGGTATTAATTAATCTGATTAATTAATTGTAATTAATTAACCGTTAATTAACTGAGAAATAATTAACTATTTTGATTAATTTTAAATTGACCAATCAAATCAAAGGAAAATTGACCAATAAAATTAATAGATTAATATAGATAATAGATCATTTTTTTTTCATTTAATATTTTATGAAAATTTAATTTAAATATGTAAATTTTTTTTTTAACCTTTTTAATATGTAAAACCTAAAATTGTATTAAATAACTTTACTTATTCTCCTTATTCTTATTACTTTTAACTTATCAAATATTTAATTTATAAATAAAATCAATACTTTTTGAAGTATATTTTCAATAATTTCTTTGGTTTTTTTATTCAAAATAATAAAAAAGAAGGGAACTATTTAGAATTATTAGATAATTATTATATAAAATTTAATAGAAAATAATAAGATTAAATCAAGTTTACATTCTTTTATAAATATAATTATTATTCTAAAGTTTTTAATAAAGCTATTCCTTTAAGAATACAAGTTTATCTTAATAAGTGTTTAAATGTATTAAGTAATAT